AACACCAATATCAACATGGGATGTCACGTTCTGTCTTTGGCTACACAGTAAGGACCTGCCAGCACCCTCCTCCAGGTAGGCCACTGCTCGCTAATCTCCCATGGGTGTGAAGCACAGAGACCACGTCGAAGATAAACAGGTTGCTTACCTGTAACTAGTGATCTTCGAGTGGTCATCTGTGCATTCACACCACACGCCCTCCTTCCCCGCTGCTGTCAGCTTCTACGTTTTCAATAGGGGTTGATTTGCGGCGGTTTGAAGGAACTGGCGGGATGTCCGCGCCCACCCCTCTGGGCATGCGTGGTGGGGTTCCTGCACATGCCCGAGGTCTGGGTGCGAAAATCCGTTAAAAGAGCTTGCTACAGCACCGATCGATCCAGCGCGTGCGCACTAGATCCCATGGGTGTGAATGCACAGATGACCACTCGAAGATCACCAGATACAGGTAAGCAACCTGTTTTTCTTTATTTCACTCTAACCAGAGCCAGTTTGGTGTAGTGGTTAAGTGCGCGGACTCTAATCAGGGAGAACCGGGTTTGATTCCCCACTCCTCTACTTGCACCTGGCTGGATGACCTTGGGCAAGCCATAGTTCTGATAAGAGCTGTTATGGAAAAAGAGCAGTTTCTGCCAAGAGCTCTCTCAGCCCCGCCTACCTCACAGGGTGTCTGTTGTGGGGAGGGGAAGGGAAAGGAGTTTGTAAGCTGCTCTGAGACACCTTTGGGTAGTGAAGGGGGGTATAAATCCAATCTCCTCTTCCTCTTCCTTCTTCTTCTTCTATCAAGTGTTTATCCCAGTTGTTATCCCAGATCTATTAGCCAATGATGTGAATGATCCTCCCCTTATCATATCCTTTTGTGTTCCAGTTACTTATTCCAAAAGAGTTTTGTAAATATAATGATGAAACTTCAAAAATTATCTCTAAAATGGCAATTTTAAATGTATTTCTTGAAAGTAAGTTCCAATGAAATCAATGTGTTTGTGATTATGGTGCCAGCCTGGAATGGGCAAACATTATGTGTTTGCATATGAATATTCCAGGGGAGTATTCCTTGCAAATGATATCATGGAACTATTTTACTGTATAGTAACAATTTTTAACTAGGGATATAATACTCAATTTTACATTGGATTCAAAAGCCTAATTAATTTGTGTATTTTAGTTGAGCATAAGCATTTCATTTGCAGTTTCTTGCTTTGAAAAATGTAATCCCTGTGTGTGAGGAGAAAAATTAATTCAGTCTCTTTCAAATATTTAAATAGAAGATTGGAAACAAGCATAGCAAATGGGGTTTTTTGGTGCGTTAGGAGTTCTTTATAATAAACAAAGATGTCACCTGTATCAGTTCTGTTTTAAATGGTAAGGTGGACCAGAAATATCAAGTAATAATAGTGACTGATAATTATAATGAGTCAATGGTAATTCAAGTGAAATAGTTTTGAGCTACATACTTAAGAGCTGTGTGGTAAAGTTAACTTTCTGGTCCAGCAGTATTTGTACATGGGGATGTGTGGTTACAGGTAAGATACTAAAGGTCAGTGTAAATTTATACAGTCAGCCACTTGGCTGGGATAAGTAGCATACAATTTCTAAAGGTTTGCAGGGAATAGATTTTAAAACCATTCAGTGATGGAAAGGTACCGTAACAGAAAGACCAAAGTGATTGTTCAGATTTGGGAGGTTTTCGTTATTAGTTTAAATTACTCCACCATCACCCCTTTTCTGATAAGAGTGAGCCCCTAATTTCATTACAGTGTTGTGAATTTGATCGTATGGTTCTTAGTATTAGGCTTTATTGCATCAAGAGATGCAATTACATTAGACTTGCACCTTTCTTTTTCTCTTATCTTTTTGTCATTAATATTTGTAGAGCTAGTGTGATGAACTATGAAAAACCACTCTGAGGGGAGGTAGTAGCAGAGGCTCACTCTGATTGGTGAGTTGCCTCCAGGACAACGGAAGCATCCATGAGGGGGCTGGGGGGGGAGGAGAGCTGTCAGTTGGAAGGGTGGTTGGAGGGGTTCTTTTTGGAGAGAGTGAATCTAATGGAGGAGGGGGCGTTTTGAGTGGCTGCCTTCAGAGAGAAAACACTCAGTCTGGGAGACAGTGGCAGGATGTCCCAGAGAGAGGGGCAGAGCAGACTCCACTGAAGGGTTGTGTCAGAGTAAAAGGTCAGACCCAGGTTAAACAAGAGACATCCACTCACACAGGGGCTAGTTGGTATTCAGAGCCTAATCAGGGGAACCCTAGTTTATTGGTTGTATAACTTCATTTGTTCGTTGCCAACTGTTTGCTATTATAAAACCTTTTCCCATTTCCCTGCCTTTCGTTAAGAATAAATCTTTCCTCGTATTTCATTTTTAAACCCTGCTATTGGTGCCATTCTTTCTTACCTGTTGGGAAAGGATTGGGCTCCTGAGGTTCCCTTTACCTGAGAAGGGGTCCTCACAGCTAGCAATAATGCTTCTTCAAGATAACATTTAAAGATTTGTGGTGTGCTTTCTTCTTGTACCCGTTAAAAATATTGTTTTTAACTTCATTCAAGAGGTCATTTCTGATGGAACCCCCCCCCCTTTTGCCTACAGTGAGGAGAGGTGATGTTCTTGCAGCATGGAGTGGTATTCGCCCTCTTGTGACAGATCCCAATTCTAAAGACACCCAGTCCATATCTCGGAATCATGTAGTCCATGTTAGTGACAGCGGCCTTGTGACTATAGCAGGTAATTTGTCCTTCATTTCTACTCTTTACCATGTCCTCAATAGATAATACTTGAATTGTTGTGTAACTTCAATGTTTTCATTATATTTAAACAGAAGGTTTCAATTCCGAACAAGTAGGACAATTATTGGGCAGTTAAAGGTGGCAGCCTAAATTAGTAATTTATTCTGTATGTTCTAAATAAAATAGTCTTGGAAGGTAAATAGAGAAATGGGTATGCTGTGGGAGCACACAGTTAATGCTGTAAATTATTACTTGCAGGAGGGAAATGGACAACCTATCGCTCAATGGCTCAGGATGCCATTGATGCTGCTGTAAATGCCCATAACCTTCATGCAGATTCATGTAAGACAGTTGGACTCTTTCTCCAGGGTGCAAATGGCTGGAGTCCTACCCTTTATATTCGACTGGTTCAGGACTACGGACTTGAAAATGAGGTGAGGCTTTGTGGTGCACGACTGTTTCTGTTCCACTAGACTTAACCTGTGACAACAGTAGAGATCTTGGGTGTTGATGATAGTGAGTATACTGAGCTGCCTATTATGCCTAGGTAGCTCCTCCTCCTCTGCTCTGGCTATCCTGAGATCTAAACTATGTGCTAAATTGGAGGTCCATGTTCTAATTCCCTGATATGTAATTCAGTCATAAAAAGCTGTGGTGGGCCCTAATGTAGATTGTAGCTATGGTGCTGGGAAAGGGGGGGCTTAACCCTCTCTCCCATCCCTGTGCTGTTTTTCCCTGATCAAAAAGTTTCCCCTGCCCTCCCAGGTTCTCTTTGCTCCAACAGACAAAAAAAATTGCAGGCACTAAACAGGTACTTCTTTTCTTCCCCTCTCTTGGGGCTTAAAGCAGGGAGTCCTTTCATTGGGGCAATATGTTGGAGGGGAAAGAGGTAACCTCTCCTCTCAATTGTCATGTCCCCAATCCATATCAGGAACCTACCATGGCTGCTTTTAGCATTCAACTCAGAAGATGGTAGGATCTCATGACCAATTCCCAACGTTGTTTGTAGTTTGGCTCTCAGAACGTTCTGAGGCCTGTCAAAACTAGCAAAGAATTATTGGTCTGGCTTGGTGAAGGGTTAATAAGAGTCGGATGGAAGAGAACAAGTTGAAGTAGATGGGCATGCTATATTTTCTCTCTCCTCCAACTGAAAACAACCTCTTTTGGACATGGAGTTGACAGGCCTGTACCTAATTTCGTATATGGATCATAATTGTTATTTCAAGATGATGAAATCATGGTGTCTGACCATGAATCCTAATCTGTGTGTGTGTGTGTAAATGGCTGTGTTCTTTTGTTGTCCAATTTCCCAGATTTTAGTTTGCAATTTAGTTGTGTGTACATATGTGTTTCTTCGTAACCATGACAGTCTTGAGCCTTTGAGCTTCCCAGCCCCAGGCAAATCTATTCTTCCAAAGTGTACACAGTAGCAGAAAGCTTGAAGCATCATTAGTCACTGTTCTGTTGATACATGCATAGCAGCATTAGCGCTGGTCTAAGCATTCTCAGCGTGATGAGTTGCCTCCCACCCCATCCAAATCTAATACCTTCTTCAGTCTGTTAGTTAATAGGCAACCGGAGAACTGACAAGAATGGCTCACGTTGAGATTGACCTGCATTCCAGAAAACGCCAGCTGGTAAAGCAGTCACTCACCATGTTCTTATTTCCTTAGGTGGCTCAGCATCTTGCAGCTACGTATGGAGACAAGGCTTTTGAAGTGGCCAAGTTAGCCCAGGTTACTGGGAAGAGGTGGCCGATTGTTGGAAAACGGCTCGTATCAGAGTTTCCTTACATTGAGTCTGAGGTATGACAGTGAGGCTTCCAGGCCTTGCCCTTGGCTATTGATTTGTTTTAAATGTGCTGTTTTCTTGCAATCGAAGATGTATAGCTTAGCTTATTCCATCTTCTTAGAAAGTTGCAGCTCATAACTGAGAACTGTAATGTAGAGACTGAATTGTGGGCTAGAAAGAGCTTGTTTCAGAACTCCTCTCCTCTTCCGTAAGCTCATTGGATGGCTCTAAGCAAGCTGCTGTCTTTCAGCCTTTGATACTGTGTCTGTCTGCAGAATGGGGGTGGTAATCTTGACCTATGCTATACAGTTGTAAAAGTTGTTGGGATAATGTATGTGCAGTGCTCCGACCCCACTAAAGTGCTGGATAAATGCTGCTTATTATTTAATCTCCTAGCCCTGTTTCTTCCCTTGGGGGACAGATGTGGAACAGGGTGTTCTATAGAAGTTGAGGGAGGGATTGTAGTGGTGTATGGGCAGGTTGGATAGAAAAGCAGCAGCAAAAATGTGCATGTATGCTTGTGCGTGTGCATCTAGGTAGGAAATGTATAAGAGTTAGGTTTGCCAGCTGACCTGGGTGGGGAAAATTGCCCAATCAACTCTACTTTAGTATATAGCAGCTTTGTCCAGAAACCACATAAGTATCTTCGCTTGCTATTGTCTGTGCATCAAACTGCTCTGAAGGCTCATTGAAAAGCTGGCAATCCCCTTAGGAGCCTGAGGGGGCTGGGAAGAAAGGACACAGGAAGTGGAGGAGTAAGATGGCTTATACCTAGTGAGGCAGAGGTGGCGGAACATCTAAAAATTTTAGAAGGGCATTGCTATTACTTACAGGAGACCTGTATCTGATCTAATTAAAAACCCGTCTCAGAAAACAGCAGGAGTTATAAATTCTGAATGTGTTGATAAAAGAAAAGTTTGGTCAAGCCAAAATTCCAAATACATAGATTCCAGTGAGTAGCCGTGTTGGTCTGAAGCAACAGAACTAAGTTCAAGTCCAGTGGCACCTTTAAGACTAGCAAAGTTTTATTCAAGGTATGAGCTCATACCTTGAATAAAACTTTGCTAGTCTTAAAGGTGCCACTGGACTTGAACTTTGTTCCACAATTCCAAATGTATCTTTTCCTTTCATTCAGGATAATAAAAGGAAAAGCAGAAAACTTACTGTAATTTTAGTGAGAGTTGAGTTACATGGGCCAGATGGTATGCACTTGACGTTCGGCAGTGGAATAACTTCATCTTAAACTGTTGTTGGTATACATTGCACTTTTCCACCAGTGTTAATTTCTCTGTCTTATGCCAGACTCTTAAAATTAAATTGGCCTTTAGAATTGTCCATTCAAATATTGCAGGTTGAGTATGCAATCCAGGAATATGCCTGCACTGCAGTGGATATCATTGCTCGTCGCACACGCTTAGCCTTCCTGAATGTCCAAGCTGCTGAGGAAGCCTTACCAAGAATCATTGAGATCATGGGGAAGAAGCTCAAATGGAGCGAGCATAAGAAAAAGGTACACAGGAAGTCATTTGTTTCACAACAAGGCCTTTTCCAGAGGTGCAGGTCAAGGTGGTGGAAAGGAAGAAGGGAATTGGGTCCCTGAGTTTACTGAATGACTGAGTATTGCCTTATGCATTCTTTTTCTGCCCAAGTCTGGGATCCAGTTTACGCAGTGGCATATTTCTAATTATCCGTGCACTTTGGGGAGTGGAACTTTTCAGCTTCCTTCTCCTGCTGCAGTCCACTAAGCACCCACCCTTCCCCATTTTTGTTCCTGGGTATGAGCAGACCATCAGGAAAACCACATGGGTCAAGATGGGAGCTTGTAGTGGGGCAGGAGAATTGATGGAAATCTTTACACCCTCTTATTTGAACAGAAATACCATTCCGTCAGAGGAATTGTATGGTTGGATGCATATCATTGTGTTTGCTAAAATTAGCCTTCCTGCACCTAATGGTTGCCTTCCCTTTCATTAGGTTTGCAAGTACTAACTGTGTGTGTATCAGGGTTTTGTGACTTTCTGGGCTCTCCACTCCATCTTTTCCACAAATTCTGGGCACAGTGGAGATAAATTCAAACATACTTTGCTGAATTAGATCAGTAGTGCATCTCATCCACCTTCCTGTTTTACATAGCAGCCAACCAAATGCACCCATAAGTCCAGCAATTAGGGTACAGTGGCTACAGACACACACACCCCCGGCATGTATTTAGAGGGCTTCGCTTCTGAACATTTAGGTTCCATTTAATCATTATGGTTAATAGCTATTGATGGGATTGAAAATGTCTGAATGGCCGAGTCTCCTTTGTCTTTGTTTAATGTACTTGGAAGTCAGTATGTGTTAAGACATTTCTGATAACATATTTGACTTGTGTGCCATTAGTTATGTATCCTGTGGAAAGGATTATGTTGCCAAAGTAAAGGATTTTATCTACAGGTTCTTCCTCTGCATATGTTGGGGTTTTTTGGCATATTTAAAAAAAGTTTCAGAATAGAGTAGGTGATTTGAAGATGACAAACTCCCGGCATAGTTTTTTCTCTCCTGCAGCTTGAAGAGAGTAATCAACAAATGCCAGAGGCTTGGCATTAAAATCTGCGATTTGACGCCACTTAGGATATTTATTGTAGCCGTAAGATACCTGCTTTAAATTAAAGGCCATCTCTTGGCCCTTCGTCTGCAAGCACAAGTCTTGCTGGTATCGCTGTGAGTTGCATGTGTGGACTGAGGGCATGATACAGCCCTAAGAAAACCTTTACCTTGCACGTCTCTCGGAGTAATTACTGCTTGATAATCAACGCTTGTACAACTGAACCAGTGATCTAGCTGAAGCATGAAATGCTGCCTAATCTTAATTACCTTGTTCACCTTTAAGCACTTTTTGGTCATCAACTGCTGATATTCCTCTAAGGACCAGCAATTATAATTAAGTGAAAGGAGCCAATAAAACATTACAGCAAGGAAAAAATTCAGAATGTAAATATTTGCTGTTACCCTAGAGCTGAGATACTGTGCTGCTGTCCCTTGTTTAGGAAGAGCTTGCAGAAGCGAAGAAGTTCCTGTACTATGAAATGGGCTACAAGGTACGGTCAGAGCAATTGACGGATCATGGTGAAATCACTCTGACACCAATGGATATTGAGAGGTAAATAGAGGACAAACAAGTTCATATTCATCTCTGAGATCTGGGTATAATGTACAAGGAGGCAGGGTGGGAAAGTAGCAACTACAGACAAGCGAGCTTGGATTACAGTGGTGAGCCCTCTTTATTTCATTTTGGTATTAATGAACATGCTGCCTTGTCAGTATCTTTGATATGTTCACAGTCACTTTTTGAATGCTTCTTTTCCTGCTCCTTGATAGACTGAGTGGGTTATAGTTACATGGGCCAGATGGTATGCACTTGACGTTCGGCAGTGGAATAACTTCATCTTAAACTGTTGTTGGTATACATTGCACTTTTCCACCAGTGTTAATTTCTCTGTCTTATGCCAGACTCTTAAAATTAAATTGGCCTTTAGAATTGTCCATTCAAATATTGCAGGTTGAGTATGCAATCCAGGAATATGCCTGCACTGCAGTGGATATCATTGCTCGTCGCACACGCTTAGCCTTCCTGAATGTCCAAGCTGCTGAGGAAGCCTTACCAAGAATCATTGAGATCATGGGGAAGAAGCTCAAATGGAGCGAGCATAAGAAAAAGGTACACAGGAAGTCATTTGTTTCACAACAAGGCCTTTTCCAGAGGTGCAGGTCAAGGTGGTGGAAAGGAAGAAGGGAATTGGGTCCCTGAGTTTACTGAATGCCTTATGCATTCCTTTTCTGCCCAAGTCTGGGAACCAGTTTACGCAGTGGCATATTTCTAATTATCCGTGCACTTTGGGGAGTGGAACTTTTCAGCTTCCTTCTCCTGCTGCAGTCCACTAAGCACCCACCCTTCCCCATTTTTGTTCCTGGGTATGAGCAGACCATCAGGAAAACCACATGGGTCAAGATGGGAGCTTGTAGTGGGGCAGGAGAATTGATGGAAATCTTTACACCCTCTTATTTGAACAGAAATACCATTCCGTCAGAGGAATTGTATGGTTGGATGCATATCATTGTGTTTGCTAAAATTAGCCTTCCTGCACCTAATGGTTGCCTTCCCTTTAATTAGGTTTGCAAATACTAACTATGTGTGTATCAGGGCTTTGTGACTTTCTGGGCCCTCCACTCCATCTTTTCCACAAATTCTGGGCACAGTGGAGATAAATTCAAACATACTTTGCTGAATTAGATCAGTAGTGCATCTCATCCAGCTTCCTGTTTTACATAGCACCAACCAAATGCACCCATAAGTCCAGCAATTAGGGTACAGTGGCTACAGACACACACACCCCCGGCATGTATTTAGAGGGCTTCGCTTCTGAACATTTAGGTTCCATTTAATCATTATGGTTAATAGCTATTGATGGGATTGAAAATGTCTGAATGGCAGAGTCTCCTTTGTCTTTGTTTAATGTACTTGGAAGTCAGTATGTGTTAAGACATTTCTGATAACATATTTGACTTGTGTGCCATTAGTTATGTATCCTGTGGAAAGGATTATGTTGCCAAAGTAAAGGATTTTATCTACAGGTTCTTCCTCTGCATATGTTGGGGTTTTTTGGCATATTTAAAAAAAGTTTCAGAATAGAGTAGGTGATTTGAAGATGACAAACTCCCGGCATAGTTTTTTCTCTCCTGCAGCTTGAAGAGAGTAATCAACAAATGCCAGAGGCTTGGCATTAAAATCTGCGATTTGACGCCACTTAGGATATTTATTGTAGCCGTAAGATACCTGCTTTAAATTAAAGGCCATCTCTTGGCCCTTCGTCTGCAAGCACAAGTCTTGCTGGTATCGCTGTGAGTTGCATGTGTGGACTGAGGGCATGATACAGCCCTAAGAAAACCTTTACCTTGCACGTCTCTCGGAGTAATTACTGCTTGATAATCAACGCTTGTACAACTGAACCAGTGATCTAGCTGAAGCATGAAATGCTGCCTAATCTTAATTACCTTGTTCACCTTTAAGCACTTTTTGGTCATCAACTGCTGATATTCCTCTAAGGACCAGCAATTATAATTAAGTGAAAGGAGCCAATAAAACATTACAGCAAGGAAAAAATTCAGAATGTAAATATTTGCTGTTACCCTAGAGCTGAGATACTGTGCTGCTGTCCCTTGTTTAGGAAGAGCTTGCAGAAGCGAAGAAGTTCCTGTACTATGAAATGGGCTACAAGGTACGGTCAGAGCAATTGACGGATCATGGTGAAATCACTCTGACACCAATGGATATTGAGAGGTAAATAGAGGACAAACAAGTTCATATTCATCTCTGAGATCTGGGTATAATGTACAAGGAGGCAGGGTGGGAAAGTAGCAACTACAGACAAGCGAGCTTGGATTACAGTGGTGAGCCCTCTTTATTTCATTTTGGTATTAATGAACATGCTGCCTTGTCAGTATCTTTGATATGTTCACAGTCACTTTTTGAATGCTTCTTTTCCTGCTCCTTGATAGACTGAGTGGGTTATGCATTATTAAATTTGTATCCTAATACAGGATTGGTGGGATCAACTTATGAAGCAGTCCTTTTTCTCAGAGGATTGGTCAACAACTAGCCCCATTGTTCAGGGCTTCAGCCCCCCCCCCCCCCCCCATGCAACTTCCAAGACGGTATCTGGAGATTGCAGACACTAAACATGTGACTTTAAGAGTACAAAGTATTGTGTGCTGTTGCCAAACTGTGACCCGTTCCCCTAGGTATAGGCTCTTTCTTGCCCACTATATGGAGAAGTCAAGATGGTATAGCATCAGTTTTGGGGAAAGTTGTGGGATGAATAAACCTCGAAAGTAGATGCAGCAGAGTTTGATACTATACTGGGACAGCTATCAGCTTACGGGTATAATAAAGCGGGGACATCTCATGGCTTTAGGTGAGGCTGGTTATTTTTTCAATGTAGATCTTTCTCAATCTTGCAGATATAAAAAGAGGTTCCACATGTTTGATAAGGCTGGCAAAGGTTTTATTACTATATTGGACGTACAGCGTGTGTTAGAGGTAACATTTTACTTACCTTAAATTATATCAGATTTTCCTGGTGTGATATTAATAGTGTTTTTGTTAATTCAGGCATGGTTTTTTAATTCTTCCCTATATTTTATTAGAGCATCAACCTTCAGATTAATGAATGTGCACTCCATGAAATTTTGAATGAGGTGGATTTGAACAAAAATGGGCAGGTTGAACTCAATGAGTTTTTGCAGGTGAGTGATTCTTTTAAAAATATAATGGAAAGAGCACAGAGTCAGTGTTTTTGGTTATGTCATTACTGATCATTGCAAAGTTCATCAATATTGGAAAATTACATATGCATTCATGTGTGGTTCCTAAACATGCTACAATAACACAAGGTCAAAAAAATATTAGATTCAGTTCAAAGAAATAAATATTCCTATGCTCAAGAAAATAAGGCACACTGTTCTGTCTGATATCTCTACCTTCAGTGTGCACCTTTTCCCTGGTATCTTCCTCTGATTCCCTGGACATGAGATGGTGATATGGCTTTCATGGAGTAAAATAACAGGGAAGAGAGACAGAGGCTTGGTTCAGACACGTATTGATTGGCCCCAAGCTTTACTTGGGAGGAGTGGCATGGTCACTCTTCATCTCTACTATCGTCCTTAAGTACTGTAGAGTTCCAGACCAAAAATATAGTGGGCCATTTGGCATCATTCTTCCAGAAGAATTAGAAAAGGGAGGAAGGATTTTAAATGGTGTCAAAGTAGCCTTTCAGGGGCTGCAGTGGAGTAGAGGTGAGAAATCTACAATACAAGTCAGCACGTGTCACCTTATGTGAAGGGTGCTCAGTCTGCTCTCCTATGAGAGCAATTAATGTCATTCCAGCCTCTAACCTGTTTATTACATGCAGTTAGGCTTTGGAATCAAAGTCCTTGAAGTATACAGTTCTTATAGTCCACCTTTCTTGCTGACACTTGAGGCAAATTACAAAATTAGAAAAATAATGCAGTAAAGACACAATATAAGACATACCATACCATAAACAAGGCAACAACTGGATTACGAAAATTAGAAAACAATGCATATAGGCAAGGGAAAAAATATAAAAGTGCAGTTAACTACAAACTTACTTCCTATATTAAATTCCATTTACTACAGCCCTATTCCCTTTATAAAAAATACCATCCTAAACAATTGAGTTCTGTGGAACATTAGAAATGTGGGGCCTTCCTGACTGCCTTTATATAAGAACTGGTGAAACACAGTGGCCAAGAGACTGAGCTATGATTTTCTTCTGCCATTAACTTGCCGTGTAGTCTTGGCAATTCACGCTCTCTCATCCATCCTCCATCTGCAATACGGGAATAATAATGCCAAGTTACCTTACCAAGTTGGTGTAAAGATTACAACAGCATTAGATAGACAGACAGACAGACAGACAGACAGACAGACAGACAGATGAAGCACTACATAGGTATTTCCTTCAGACCGGAATATTCTCAGGGTTCCTTGGCAGTAATTGCTGGTCAAAATGCTGCTGTTGGTGTGTGCAAAATGGTTCTCCGGGCAAGCACATAGACTTGGATCTGAAGGACTGGCTCTAATAGCAGAAGGGCATGTTTCCTAATATCCATGGATTTCTCCTTCCAGCTACAATGTTCCCCCACCACACTAGTAAGGTGCTCCCAATTGTCACAACAGGCTTTTCAGAGGTGTGCAACGTTGCAGTGTCAAAGGGGTGCTGCTAAAACCCCATTATATGAGCAGAGTTCTTGTTGGGTGAAGTCTGCAAGCCTGTGTTTTAGACTTTCAGTGCCACATCAGTTTTTTCTTTTTTGACTTCAGTGACAGATGCTTCGATGATTCAGAAGTCATACTAACCCTCCCCAGGTGCTACCAGCTTTTACCTTGTAGAGACATGTAGATGTAATCAAGGAATGATTCATATGTGGAGGAACAAGAAAGTATCCTGTCTCACAGAGTGTCCAACCAGTTACTCTGGAGGGCTAACAACAGGGCATAGGGGTCAAGGCTTTCCCCTAATGTTGCTTCCTGGCACTGGTATTCAGAAGTTACTGCCTCTAATTGTGGAGGGTCCCTTTAGTCACTATGGCTAGTAGCCACTGATAGATCTATTCTCCATGAAGAGGATAATAGCAGCGCGGCTGCCAGTACAGTCCCTGGCACGACACCTGCTGCTCCCGGGCTCTCTGGATTGGCCCAACGTTGGCAGGGATAGCAGCGGAACCAGGTAAAAACTCTGCCCACAACAAGAGCGTGTGAGCCGGTTGCACGGCACTTTGGGCTCTGCCAACCCCGCCAGCCTCGATCCACCTGAGTGGTCACCATTTTGGTGAGACTTGTTTGCACTCACTATTACAGTGGCTCCTGCCATGGCCACTGCCTGTAGGAGTGCTCCAGATGCTCAGGTGGGGGCCAGGGAGCCCAAAGAGGGTCTCTACCTTCTTTGGTGCCCTTCCGCCTGAACCTGAATATACTGGATGACTACTGATAGCACGATCTGGACAGTGCCCCTTCCTTCTGGGTTTACCATCGAGGGCAGCGGCGGTGCACAAATAGTGGAGAAATTGGGATTTGAGGGACTGGCAGACCCACAGGACTTGAACACGCTGGCCTGGATGGCCCTGGAGGGGTGGACAGACGTAGACACTGATGTGATATCGGAGAGCAGGCCCAGGGGATACAACTTAACCTGACCTAAGGAAGACCACTGGACTTGCTGAGCTCAGTTAACCGGAACCAGACTACTATCTGCAGCAGACACAGATGACTAGCCATAGGGAACTATCAGGTTTAGACTTGGTTAATTGGGTTAGGGAACAGAAATTATAAACTGGTTGCATGTTGTTAGTTTTCCAATTAATTATGGGTTTAAACTGGTTGAATGAATTGATTACTAATTGCCCTGTAATTGATGAATCAATTAATTAATTTGGTATCCAGTCACCTGAAGTAAATGTGCCACAGATTTGTATTAGCCTTACCAAATTCATATTTGAATTGCTGGCTAAGCTGATTTGGGGGGGGGAGAAGAAAAACCCCCACAAATATAATGGGGGGTTGGGGAAAAAAAAGAAAAACAAAAAAGGCAGTGATAGGCTACTGGATTAATAGGAAGGGTGGGTAATTTGAACTGTTCATATAAAGTGTGTTATACTGAATTAAGGAGTTACTGGCAGCCAGTGTCTGCCACTGAAAGATTTTTTAAATTATTTTTTATTTTATTTTATTTTAACCGCTGAAAGATTAGCCTGGTCAGGATTAAAGTTAGTTGGCCTGAAGCCCATAGCTGGCTATCAGCTGGCAAACCAGCAGGCGAGATGATGACCGGGCAAGTGATTCCAGTGCTCCTGGGGAAGGGAAAGTATAGCAGTAGCCCCAGGCATGGAGTCAAGGGAAGGGGATGGACAAGTAGAGAAGCTCGGCCCCCTTCCAGTCTGTGTCCCCATCCCAAGGATAGTAGGTGGTGGGGCTAGGATGATTGACCCCCCCCCCGACATTGGCGTTGTGTTACGCCAGGTTTATAAACAATAAGACCACAGTCCTTCGGGACTTTCTGCAAGAGCAGAATGTAGACCTGACGTGCATGACCGTGACCTGGGTGTGGGAGGGGGAGACCATAGCTCTTTCCCAGCTGGCCCCTCCCGGGTTCTCAGTCCTCCACCAATCATGGACTAGGAGGCGGGGGGGAGGAGTGGCTCTATTCATTCAGGAGGCTTACTCCTTCAGAGAAGAAGAAGAGATTGGATTTATACCCTGCCCTTCACTACCCAAGCCGCTCTGCTTACAAACTCCTTTCCCTTCCCCTCCCCACAACAGACCCCCTGTGAGGTAGGTGGGGCTGAGAGAACTCTGACAGAAACTGCTCTTTTTCAAGAACAGCTGTGCCAGAATTGTGGCTTGCCCAAGGCCATCCAGCCAGGTGCAAGTGGAGGGAGTGGAAAATCAAACCCGGTTCTCCCAGATTAGAGTCCGTGCACTTAACCACTACACCAAACTGGCGCTCCCACCACTGAGGATCACAGGCATAGAGTGTGCCGGCTTAGTGTGGGAAGCTGAGGAGAGTGTGGCTATTTGGCTGGTGTACCGACTGCCCAATGCACCAGCTGGTAGCCTACTGTACCTGGTACAGGCTGTATCAGCCTGGATGATTTCAATGTCCATGCCTATGACACAGCCTCTACTCAGGCAACAGACCTGGTGTACTCCATGGTGGCACTGGGACTCTCTCAACTTGTGACGACTCCCATTTCACCAGGCTGGGCACACACTTGATTTGATTTTCTCAGCGGGGTTACAGTTGACCAGATTACTGCCTCAGCAGTACCTTGGTCGGACCACCATGCCTTGAAGGCCCATCTGAATGTTTCACTGAAATCCTGTTTGGGCGGCGAGCCTATTTTGGCTCGCCTGCAGAGCCAAATGGAGCCTATGTGGCTTCAGACGGCTCTCTGGAATCTGAAGCCCCCTGGTGACTCATTAGATGAACTCGTAGAGGATTGGCACAGCCTACTCTTGACAGCCATTGATGAGATGGCCCCCCCAACACCCTCTGTGCCCTTACTCCAAGCTCGCTCCATGGTTTACCCAGGAGGTGCAGCTGATGAAGCGAGGGCTAAGATGGCTAGAGAGACAGTGGCGGCGTGCCCATGATGAACATCTTATAGGAACATCTTATAGGACATTCATGAGATCATATGAGATGGCAGTCAAAGCTGCTAAGCGAGAATATGCATCTGCGATTGCATCTGCAAGCTCACGCCCTGCCCAATTATTTAGAATGATTTGGATCACTAATGCTCTGCCACAAGGCAAATCAAATGCTAGGGAATTGGACATGGGCTGTGAGGCTTTTTTGTGCTATTTTGCAGATAGTCTTCTCCCTCCACCATGATCTCCCTGCCACAGTTGATACCGTGAGCGAGCTCGAGGTCCCATGCACGTCTTCTAGTTGGGTTATGGATCATTTCGGCCTGCTTAGCCTAGAGGAAGTTGACAAGTTGCTCCAAACTGTACACCCTACCACTTGCTCCCTTGATTTGTGCCCTTCATAGCTAATTAAAGCTGGCCGTGAGGGATTTTGAGGTGCCCTACTGGAGATTGTCAACAAGTCCCTCCTGGAGGGGTGGTTCCCTGGGGCACTCAAGGAAGCAGTGGTCCACCCTCTCTTGAAAAAGCCATGGCAAATTATCAGCCGGTCTCCAATTTGCCCTATTTGGGCAAG